ACCACCATTTAAAGTTGTGCGTGCATGTACATGTGCACATCTATTTTATCTCACAGGAAAGCAGAAAAGTGCTCAATTTCCCCAGGATAGTTTAACCTGGAAACCAGAATACTGATGGAGAGCTACAGTTTTCATGAACAGATGTGGTACAAAATCATGCAAATTAAAGTATTCTCCATACATTTAGAAATCAAAACGTATGAGGCAGAGAAACCAAATAATTAGGTAAACTGTGTGGCAAGGTGAAAAGACAGAACATAACTTTCAGCTGCCATTTCCATATCTTAACATCACACATACCTCAGACCATCATATAAAACTAGGAAGATGGTTAACACTAGTAGGCTGCAGGGTGAAATGGCATAACAAAGATTTTTAGGCACAGAAGACTTGGGCTAAAGTCTTATCTTTACCCTTTTAACTTATCTGAATGATTTTAGTAAATCTGCTTTAAATTTGCTAAGCATTATTTTTCCTCATCAATAAAAAACTGAGTAACAATAATACATGCCTTATGTACTTCAAAGGGCTAAAGATGAAATCTAATGGGATCACATTTATGAGAGAGTGCTTGGTAGAATGTTAAGCACTATAAAAATAACATGTGAATTTTGGTGACACATAAATCACTTTATATAATTTTTGATGACAGTTTTGTTTCATGCGCAATACAGATTTTTGGTTTACATAATACTGCACATTAGTTTGCAATATTTCACTAGTTTACAGCACAGTAGAAGAAATAAAATGATTGCTCTAATGAATATCATGATTAACTATAAGTTTGCTCTTTTCTTCTTATACATAACTATTAAATGTGTATTGAAAAGTGCTGCTATACATACTTTGCTCTCATGTAATTTAAAAGAGAACAGAATAGTTATGTACTTTAATGGTAATATATATTTACATAATTATATTTACTATTAATATTCTTATTTCCACTGATGGAATCTGTTTTAAATTTTTCAGCATGGTGGTAACTAGAGTAATGTGGCACTTACTTGTCTTTGGCAAAAAATAAAAACTAAATTCCTTAACTTTCTGCTTAAGTAGAAAAAAAATTTAGCACTTTCACTATGTTTTATATTTTTCTTCCAAGTCTCAAATGCACGCAGGAAAAAAGATAGCTATCACAATATTTCAGACCATTACGAAACCAGTTACCTTTTCAAGCTAACTGAGCCACTTCTTGGTTAAAGATGCTCCTTCACATTTGACAACAAGCGGAGGAAGGTAGTACTCAAAATTGCACGCATCACAGGGGCCCACATGTTACATGATTGAGACATGAGCAACCTGGGCAGCCCATTTCCCAGGGTGCTCCCAACCTTGTAGCTTGCAGATCCTTATATCTGCACACGTTGAAACTATACAAGAATCTAAATTTTAGGAGCTTTTCACAGTACTTAAGAGACAGCTTATACTAGCAATATTCTATTATCCACCAAATCACTTTAATAATCACCTCCGAAGTCATTTCCTCAAGTATTCTTTCACATCACTAACTTTTCATCCCTTTTTCATTAATCTGGCCCTCAGAAGGCTTTTATGTAACCTAAAATGCCCTTCGTGGGAATAATATACAGCAGCTAGGCATACAGTTCTTTTTTAAAGCAAAGAACAGAAATATATTTATACAGTGTGTACACTATCATAAATAAGGATCTTGCACTTTGTGGAATTCAAATTATATAGATACCTCCAAAAACCCTTGAACACTTAATTCTAAAGTCCAAAGGAAACATCCAATAGTACCTAATGGATCTTAAATTATTTCACTTTGCCTCCATATCTAGAGTTTTAATGGGCATGAGGTATGGTTTTGATGGGCATAATGTACTGATTTTTCTTACTTTGTTTAAATTACTTATTCCCCTCCTTCAAAAAAGTACTATTAATTACATGGAACCACAAAATCAAAATCAACATTTTTTAGAAAAGAACTTTTGTTAACAATTTTGAAATATGGCAATATCATCATTAAGCTTAGGATATTGTAGATTAAAGTATTTGATACTGATTTTAGGGCTTACTAAATAACAAGGTCCTCTGTGTATGTGTGTGTATGTGTGTGTGTCTGTAAGTAGATCCCAGTGAAATACATGGGACAATATTGTAACTTACAAGTTTGCTTTATGGAAATTTAAAACACTTCATAATTAAAATAAAATTTTAAATGGCTATGTTTTAGACCAGTTTACAAAATTTATTTAAACTATAAAGAAGTTTAACTGTATTTAAGATTTAACTGCACGCAGGATCTTAAGTGCAGAATAGGAGAGGGCTGTGGAAAGAAAAAAGAAAGTTTCCTTTCCCTCTTCTGACCAAAGGCTCAACCTTAGCGAAGTTGGAAAAATAAACAAGAGATACAATATTGCAATTAGGATACAGAGTAAGATGGGTCTGAGTCCACCTTACTACAAGACGCTGGAAACTCACTTAATCTCCCTAACCCTGAGGCTTCTCTTTTGTAAAGTGGTGATATTCATAGGTCCATAAGGCTGTTGAGAGCATCAAAAGTGATAATGAAGGTACAGGCCCCAGCACAAAGCTCAATACATTTTAGTTGTTGGTCTTTAGTAATGTGCTCATACTTAAACATTCTTTCACCTCTCTTTCTGATCCCTCACTCATCATCCCAAGCCCACAGTGCCTCCTGTTTCCTACCCTATGCCCCTCATCAGATCTGCTCTAATTCCCAAGGCATTTCATGCTTTGAAATTACTATCGCCTTTCCATTGCTATGAAACATGCAAGAAAACAGTACGGTTTATTTCTGCTACATACTGGAGGAAAGCAATCTGATTAATCCATTAAAATATGTAAGAACCTTAATTTTTCTCGAGATATCGGCATACGTACAAACAAGCAATGAAAAAGCAGTGTAAGAAAATAAAAACTTTAGGAAATATTCAGGAAGTTATTTTCATGCTGGGCAACTGCCACCTAGTCAGGCTAATGCTGACAAGGAGTCTACACCTTCCCCAGCCAAACCGAGACTTGTGAGATACTTCTACAGCCTGGAGCTCTTCTCCCCACCTTCCCCAACTCTGATTGCAGAGATTCACTGAAACATTTTACTTAAAAGCAAACAAAAACTCAACAAACAAACCAGTTGTAGCAACACAAAAAAGCACAAAAAAGTGCTTCACCAGAGAGAGCAGAAGGATAGGAAATGAAAAGAACAGAAAAAGACAAAGAAAGATGGAAAAGAGGAAGGCAAAGAAACAATGGGAAAGCAAGGAAATAAACGTGGAGTGGAGAACTGAATGAAGAAGAGGCAAGGCACGGCAATCACAAGGCTTGAATGACACAGCTTGCCTCAGTCTCTACAAGGGAACGGGTTAATCTATGTCTTAACTCCCCCAGAGAAGTTAGGAATGAAATGTTGCCTGAAGAGTACTGCATATGTCCATGCTATCATGTGATTGATTTAAAAGGACCTGGGATGTCTCCACAAGAACTGGGACCAGGGAAAATTTCACTCACACAAAGAAGAATGATTATCTAAAAATTAGTCTTAATTAGTCAGCAAATATTGCAGGACAGTCAGTTTCTTTCCTTTTACATGGCAACTCCCACAGAATATAAAATCATCAAATGACGTCTGATCTGATACGCACACATTTTTGCCCTCAAAAACATTTAATTTTCTTTTAAAATTTGGAGGATATATTTTCACATTATTTGTGTTAGTTTCTCTATCAATGTTACTGAATTTAGGGGCCAATCTATTTTTCTTCCTTTTAACTTAATTATCCAACTTCGGGGGGAGGGGAGAAGTACATTTTTGAAATCTCTTTCGCACAAAACATTACAAAAGTTAGTCAAGTATACTGAGAAAAATCCAGGTTTAATTGAAATATTGCAAGTAGACATACTGGAAAATATGAAACCAAAATTCCAATTCTAAATCAGCTGAATACACTATTGACTCCAAAATCATCAATTAAACAAAAGAAATTATATTTGCATTGATGTATGAATGTGCATCCATTCTTGGTAGCATGTAATATATTCAACTGCTCAGCTCTAACTGTCCTTGTAGCCGTATTACCATATTATTCAAATGTATCTATCATTTATATGTAAATAGACATGATGAATGGCTTCTTCATAAGAACAATTTTCAAATGACAAACAGACACAGGCAGACATTAGTGAGATAAAAATGTTGCAAATACTCATTCTATTGTATATTTTTAAGGAAAAATGGAAACTATTTCAAAGTTTTTAAAAAGCAGTATGGTAATTACAAAATGAGACCTTAATACATTCACAATACCAACAGCTATTCTTCTCAATAAGTCTCCACCAATGTCATTTGTATCTTATAAATTACATGTTCTCAGATCCATCTGTGAAAATTGCGATGCTAATTATCATGGTTACATTTCATGATTCCACAGTTAAATGCTGAAGTGGTGCTACACAAATACCATATGTTTTTCTAAGAGAAATGGAGAAAGATTAATTACGAGTTCAAGTCCAAGTCTTCTAGCAGTAATACTCTCAACACAATAAGATCATTACATTGTGTGCTATGCAAATTGGAAGTTCTAATTAATAGCTGAAATACCAACCAAGGGGGAAAACTCTGAAGTCTAAATTGTAAGTATCAGGCTTTCTTCCACAAAAAAAGTCTTAATAAGGATGCTTTTGAGAAAGCGTTACAAGTCCAAAGAAAAAACATTTTTATTGTCTGTGAACTTCCTTCTATGGAGTAATCACCATCATGCTGTTTAATCCTATTTTATAAACCTAAAAATTACAGTGTATCCTAGTAAGAAATAGGTTATAAACAGATAATATACCTGATGAAAATTCAACTTAACATTTTTCAGGGTTTTCCTTTAAGATACGTGTCATGCAAAATTAAATCACATGTTCTCAGAAAAAATACTCACTTCAGTGTAGTAACCTAAAAACAAGACTCTGTGATAATACTATAAGAATTTTATTTATGTTTATAAAATATGAATTCTCATTTTACTCACCACATATTCAAAGACAAGTGTCAGTGTCTCCTTGGTGTGGATGATGTCATGAAGCAGCACTATGTTAGCATGTTTTAGTCCTTTTAACAGAGAAGCTGTAAAATAAAATGGACAAAGAGACAATTTACCTTGAGCAACAGTCAACTATTTCATTATCATTTTTGACACATTGTCAGATGAAATGTATCTATTTTTCAAGCCAATAACAATTCAGAGTCAACAGCAGAGGACCAAAGTGTTCATTTAGATTCAGCTTCCCCCAATTATTTCACATGTTGTTATTAATCTCTAGTTAGACTCCATTATGGTCAGAGAACATACTTTGTATGATTTCAATTCTTTTAAATTCGTTAAGGTTTGTTTTATTACCCAGGATATGGTTTATCTTGGTGGATATGCCACATTTAGGTAATATATATTCTGCGGATGTTGAGTGGAGAGTTCTATAAATGTTAATTAGAGCCTGTTGGTTGATGGTGTCCTTGAGATCTTCTACATACTTGCTGATTTTCTGAATAGCGGTTTTTATCAATGACTAAGAGAGGGGTGTTGACATGCCCAGCTGTAACTGGGAATTTGTCAACTTCTCATTTGAATTCTGCCAGTTTTGCTTTGTGTATTTTGGAGCTCTGTCATTTACTGTACAGTCATGTGTCGCTTAACAACAGGGACACATTCTGAGGAATGTGTTGTTAGGTGATTTCGTCATTGTGCAACCATCATATAGTGTACTTACACACACCTAGATGGCATAGCCTACTACACACCTAGGTTATATGGTACTAATCGTGCAGAACCACCATTGTTGCCCAAAACATCATTACATAGTGCATGACTGTATACACACTTAGGATTGCTATGTTTTCTTTGTGAGTTGGCCCCTTTTTCAACATAGAATGTGTCTCTTTTTCCCTAGTAATTTTCTTTGCTCTAAAGTGTGTTTTGTCTATTAATAAGCCACTCCAGCTTGCTTTAGAGTAGTTTTTATGTGGTGTATCTTTTTACATCTTTTCTCTTTTAGCCTACCAATATCATTATATTTGAAGTGAGTTTCTTAAAGACAGCATATTGTTGGCTCATATGTTTTTTTAATCCTTTCTCCCAGACTCTCAGTTTTAACAGATATTTAGACCATTTACACTTAATGTAAATATTAATGTACTGGGTCACCTGTCATTTGAATCTATTTTCCCTTGGACACCTTGTAATTTAGTCATTTCTCACTTGATTTTGACTTTTCTTCTATAATTCTCAGAAGATAAGATAAAGAGATATAACCATGTTTTAGCACACTAAAAGAAAAAGCAAATCTAGATTAATGTTTCACTCAAATAAAATGGTATTTTAGATATGCAATCACCATGCAAAAAAGGCTATACTGGCTAGTTCCCAGAGAAGGCAGAGATAAAGCATGTAGACTGTTAAGTTCTTGTATGACCTCAATGAATATGAGCTCCTGCTATTAGAGTTACTTTTATTGCTATAAATATCCATTGTCTTCCCCAGGCAAATCTGTTTCAGGACAGTATACTGTATCCTTAGTTCCAAGATAAACTTTAATAAGCACATAATTCACCCAAAGAAGGCCCTTCAGACCAAGAATTACTTGGTGTGGTTGGTTCTAACCCCAGAAGACAACAAGAAGTGTGTTCCCTCTAAACTGAATCAGCAGCATCAGTGTAGAGTCCAGGCCAGAGGAGTCTAAGCTAACTGCTGTGGGGAGGCCGTCTCCGTCGCCTGACAACATGTCTGCCATGGGCAAGTTAGCTTTCCATGCAAAAACCTTAGAGGTATAATAACTACAAATTTATTTTATCTGAGCTTTGTAAATTAGCATGCATGAGAAAATAATGATGAGAATTACAATAAAATTGCAGCACATGAACTTTGAAGAAACAACCACTACGTAGATTTATAGAGAGTTTAGTATTGTTAATTCCAATAATTTATAATCTTCCTTATTTTAATTATTCAACTAGCCCAGCAGCCTTAAACAATTAAAGCTTTATTAAATAGCTAGCTTTCTGACGTTAATCTGGGGACCAACCTCATATTTGCTCATTTTAAAAAGGACACTTACTCTAGCCTTCTGCACACTGCCCTAGGCTTCTGAGGCAGACATCCTCAGAGACCAGTATTTCCAACCACGACAGGGTATTTGAAAACGATGGCAGGTATGGTGCTTCGCACCCAGCCCATGCAGGAAGGTATGTAGGTGAACGAATTAAGGACCTAATGAATATCATGTTGTATGAAAGCAGCCTGGCTTTGTGAGGCAAGTTTTGGAAATATATTATATAATATCACTTGTAATTTTGACCAATTTCATTTTTCAAGTTATCCCCTCAGTTTTTCAATTCAGTGATGATCCATCTTATCAGCAACAACTCCAAAAAGGTACTGTAGCTTACACTTCACTGAGAATCCCACTCTCTGAGGACCCATTGCCTTGGAATTTTTGTTCACTTTTTCCCATTATTGCCTTTCCTCTCTCACCACTTACACCTAAATTGTTTCTCATTTCTCAAAGCAAAGTCTTCATACCCATCATTTCCCATTGCATTTTCCCTACAATTTCAGTAAACTTAAATCTCTGCTATCATTCACCATGGGAAAAAAATATTTTTTCCACACAGTAACCAATATTATAGAAAAAAATCATGCCATTTTTTTATATGATATTTCAACCATTTTTACATGAAGACTTAAAGCCTCTACATTTCATTCTAATAGGTCTCAATTATTACAGATTTTAGATTTCTAAATACATTTACATACACTTTAAAAGCACACTACTAGTTAAATAACTACTGATATCTGTTTTTGAATGCAAGCCCTCTTTCTTTTGGGATTAACATAACGAATTCGTATTTGGAAAAAGAGAGTCACTAACTTCAAAGCTGATAGAAAAATGGCATTGAAGAGCAGAAAAGCATCTACAATATCTACCAACAACAGGGTAGGTGACAGACCTGACTATCTCGGAGGCTGCCAACACAGCAGCCACTGCTCCCAGCAAGGTGCCAGATACTATAATTCCCGCTGTTATCAGGGCAAATGAGGCTTCCGGGCTGCCAAGTCAGTCCAGTGACTAACACCTACAAGTTCTAGAGCCAGGATGTCTTGCTTTTCAAGACAAACACTGTCAAAATAATCCTGCATGTAATCCTAATAACATCACAAATATACCACATTATTTTCTCAGCGTTTACATGCAAAACAAATCCTGGAATACTAGCACTAGTAATTCCAGCACGCTTGGTTTCCCCATAAATTTTAAGTAAACATATGGCAACATTTTAAATTCATTTCACCAGTGAGATTTGAAAAGGTACAATTGTACATGATGTAAATTACCCTTGTAATTAGGGTTGAGGGTGAAAATTCTCACAATAGTTTTAGGGCTGTGATGTTGAAACAATACAAAAACAGAAAAGCATCACTGCTCATAAAGGTAACTGCGCCTCTGACAAAGTCCCAGCAGGACAGAAGGACACAGACAGTCCTCCCTGAGTCTGGTAGCAGGATTCGCATATCCACTCATCATCACTGGCCATATTGAGACCTTGGCCTCTCACTTTGAGAATAAACAGCTTAAATTTCCACTTTACTTGGAAGAGAGAAATTTCACGTAAAGTCCAATCTCATTATGATTAAAATAAAATTTTAGTTAGAAAAATTTAGAGTATGTTCGTTTTATCAGGTTCCCACTGTAGTGGTTATTTTAAAAAGCAGTGTTAAGAAAGAAAGAAAGGCAAAACCCTTCTTTAATATTTCAGATAGTTTTCTAGGTCATTATCTGACATCCTACTAGGAAAGGAGAGATCACGAATAAACACAACCCATCCTTGCTCACTCTCCCTTTAGCCTCTGGAAAGAAATAGTCCATTCACATTTTCCTCTCATCTTTTCAAGTGTTCTTTTTCAGTGGGGCGGCCTGGAGGGGCTGCTACCTGACTTTTCTAAAAGACAAAAATTACTACCCGTTAAACCCAAGGAGCCAACCATATCTCAAGCCACAACCATAACAGACAAGAACTTTTTCTTCAAGTCCACAGCTAGATAGCTCCAAGACTGCCGAAATTCACTTTACACCAGAAATAGTAAAACTACTTACTTTCAATGAGAAGTTCTATCTCACTTGCCAGTGGATTCTGAATATTTTCACAGCTAAAATATTCTGAATGGGAAAATCTTGGAAGTGAACAACAACAAAAATACACATAGGGAAAAGACACAATGCTTGTTTAGGGGGTGGCCCTGTGGCTGAGTGGTGGGTTCACGCACTCCGCTTCAGTGGCCCAGGGTTTCACCAGTTCAGATCCTGGGCGTGGACATGGCACCACTCATCAGGCCACGCTGAGGCAGCGTCCCACATGCTACAGCTAGAAGGACTAACAACTAAAAAGAAATATACAACTATATACTGGGGGGATTTGGAGAGAAAAAGGAAGACAAAAAAAAGATTGGCAACAGATGTTAGCTCAGGTGCTAATCTTTAAAAAAAAAATGCTTGTTTAACTGTGTGTGTGATGAGTAGATGGTCTAGACAGAGAAAAGAACATGTGTGTACCTTGAGAACTGATACACAGCTCCAGGCTAACTTGTGCACAGTTCTGTAAGGTGGGCCATCTACTTCAGTACATACCAGGAGAAATGCTGTGGTTCTACTCAGTTCTGGACCTTCCCCTTAATGATATCTAATATGATAAACACACACACACACAACCATAAACTAATAAATGAAAAAGTGAAAGAATCAGGTTAAAAAATGAAATTGTAGGGGCTGGCCCCGTGGCCGAGTGGTTAAGTTCGCGCGCTCCGCTGCAGGCGGCTCAGTGTTTCGTCGGTTCGAATCCTGGGCGCGGACATGGCACTGCTCGTCAGACCACGCTGAGGCAGCGTCCCACATGCCACAACTAGAGGAACCCACAACGAAGAATACACAACTATGTACCGGGGGGCTTTGGGGAGAAAAAGGAAAAAATAAAATCTTTAAAAAAAAAAAAAAAAAAATGAAATTGTATCTTTGACTCCATTTTTGCTTTTTATACTTTATACACACATACCTACAAAGAGTGAACCCTGTGTTATG